TTTGGTTACAAGGTTCCTTATAGACAAACCAATCAGGTTCTAGATTAAAAAAGAAAGGGTAGCAAGGATATGGAGATGAGAGAAAAGGACTACCATCACAAGATAGACTTCAAATGCATGTATGAAGGTGTTCCTTGGTCCTTTAACAACAACTTTTTGCTACTCAACCGTATCCATGATGGTGAGGTCCTAGGAATATACCACTGAACCATGCAGCCTTTTGGGTTCAGGTCCATAATTTACCTGCAGGATATATTTATGTCTGTTGTCATGGGAAAGAACTTGGGTAATTTTCTTGGACAATTTCTTTAGTACCATGATAAGAATAATTCTAACTTCTGGAGAGGCTACATGAGGATTCATGTCAGGCTGAAAAAATAGAAGATTAAGAAATAAGTAAGAGAATGTAATACAATCACCTTCAAGTACGTACGTGTGGAAACATGGGTCGTAACAATCAGTTCTACAATAAATTGTTAGATGTTCGAGAATATTGAGATTGTGAATCTAAGAATGGATGTCTTTGTTACATGAGATTGCAATGTAAACTTAGTTCAAATTATCACAGAATGAGGAGGCTCACTAGAAGCAATAGGCCAAACAATTATGGTTTAAAAAAGGTGATGCTAATATAATTGATAATCTCCATGACTTAGCCACTGTAATTGTGAATGAGCACATGGAACTTGAAGCCATTGCCAGACTAAAAATTTCTTTGATTTGTATGAAAAAGGGAATGTTGAGGGCAATCCTGTGGTAGGTTTGTTATCACTATGGATGATAACTCAACACTAATCATGCCTATCACAACAGAAGATGAAATTTCAAATTTCATTCGATTACTTGTAGAAATCTTTTTTAGTGGAACAATTTGTTTTAGATAAATAAAATATTATTCTTTTGATAATTATTTTAAATCATTTGAAAAGTATATTTAATTAGAAACAATCGTGTACAACATTTTATTTGCATTTTAATATAGTTTAAAAAATATGTTGCTATCATTTGGATGATACAAAATATTAAAAAAAAATTGCATCCATTATGGGCCTTTCTTGACTAATTCACTTTCACTAAAATCTCTCTTGACCAGTAAAGTCATTATTATAGACAATTTTCACATTTAATAGAGTCATATTTTATATATACATACTAATTATGTTTAGCACAAAAATATAATAATACTTTATTAGTAAAACTATAAAATCTTATTTATTTTAAAGACTAAAAACCTATTTTAGTCCCTTATAATAATTGTTTGTTTCAATTTAGTCTCACTTTTATTTTTTGTCTCAATTTGATCCCTAATAAATTAATTGGTTGCAATGTAGGACTTCCGTCTAAATTATTTAAACGGAGTTAACTGTTGGTCACGTGACATGCACGTGGATGCCACGTAGATGCATAGGTGGATGTCACGTGGATGCCAATTTTTTTGAAAACACCTGGAACTAGAACGGCCCGTTCTGAGTGCACTCTTGGTGTGTTAATTTTGCATCCGGAACGGCCCGTTCCAAGTGCAAAATTAACACACTAAAAGTGCAACCAGAATGCCACGTTCTGGTTTCAGAACGGGCTGTTCTGGTTCCAGACTGTTAACCACAAACTGTCCATGATTATAGTTCACGGTTGTGAATCATGGAAGGAAAAAAAACCCAAGGTACAAAGTATTTCAAACAACACTGGATTTGGTAATATTGTCAATGGAAATTGATAACTTCAATTGCTAAACAGTTGGGCTATACAGTGTATTATTAATTATATTTTAATTATCTTGATATATCTAATATAATAAATACATTAATATTTTTTTTATATTTTATTTTATTGTTTAATTATTTTTTATTTTTTTGGTAAAATTATCTTCATTTTTAATGAATAAAAAATTTACTTACTTTAAGATTAAGTCTTGATAGATTTATTTTACTTAATAATTAATGTTTTATATCAAATTTTTAAAAATTTAATTGTTAAATTAAAAAGCTTTTCATATATAGATCAAATTTATAATTTTTTAAAAAAAATTAAAAATCATATGATACTTCGTTAAATTAATTTAAAATAACATATAAAATATTTGTGTTTTAAATGAGTGTAAAAATTTAGAGGACACTAAAAAGAAAACAAATTAATAATTTTATTATGTTTTTCCTATTAATTTTTATCATTTTATTCCTCTAATTTTAAATAAGTTGCAAAAAATTATTAAGTGACACTTAAATATTTCTTCAGACAGAAAGAGAAAAAGAAAAAATTATCACTCTATTTATAAGACAATTGTATTTTATAAAAATAGTAATTTTAAAATTTTTATCATAAAAAAATATTTTTCAAAATTATTATAGTTTTGGAACGGGCTGTTCTGCATCCAGAACGGGCCGTTCTTTTGTACTCGTGGTGTGTTAATTTTGCATCTGGAACGGCCCGTTTCAGATGCAAAATTAACACTCCAAGTGTGCACCCAGAACGGCTCGTTCTGGTTCCAGGTATTCTCAAGAAATTTGGCATCCATGTGGCACCCACCTGTGCATCTACGTGGCATCCACGTGGCCAACAGTTAACTTCGTTTAAATAATTTAGACGAAAGTCCCACATTGCAACCAATTAATTTATTAGGGACCAAATTGGGACAAAAAATAAAAATAGGACTAAATTGGATTATTATAAGGGACGAAAATAGGTTTTTAGCCTATTTTAAATTATATAATTCATTTACTAAAAAACATTATTATTTTTATTAAATAAATTTATTTTTAATTTAAAAAAATTAAATTAGATAAGGAAATAAAAAAAATCAATTACTTCAAGTAATGATTTTATATATGATATATTATTAAAGTTGTAAGTAAAAAAGTTAAGTGGTATAGTGACTTAAATAGTTAGGTCTACAGTAAAAGTTATATGTTACAGTAAAAGTTATATGTTACAGTCATCAAAACATCACTTTTTACTATTTTAAAATAAATATTATATATTGGACTAATGTTCGTCATTGACAATTAACCGTTGAAGTACGAAGGGAATTAAAATTGCATAATTTTTAAAATTGAGAAAATAAAATTCATATTAAAAAATAAATATTAAAATTATGAATTGAAAAAAACATGAAATAAAAATATAATTTAGCTAAATTATTTCTATCACGAAGAAGATGAAATCAAATTTTAAGAATGATAATAATTAATTATATCTGCTTCCTTCGTCCCTGCATCTAATACTTTAGATTTGTTTTTATTTTTATAACATTTTCTCATGTTATTTCTTATATTAATAATTTTTTATTAAAATATTTTTAATAAATATTATTTTTTATCTTTAAAAATTATAATAACAACAATAAAGTTCAAATTTAAAAGATGTTTATTACATGAAAAAAAAAATTTCAAAAATCTGACATCGAAAATTTTAGAAATTGTTTGGTATATCTATTTTTTATTTTTATTTTCAATGAAAATGAAAATTTATGAGTTTAATTTTCTTTTACAAAATATTTTAAAAATAAAAGGTAAAAATAAAAAATAAAAAATCATCGTTTTCGATATTTTCAAAGAAAATGAAAACTAAGTCCAGTTAGTTTCGTGGTTAGTTCACCATGATGCCACGTTGACTCTTTCTTTGAGTTTGAATTGATAATACAAATTTTTAAATCTATCAAATCCTCAATTAAAAAAATTCAACTTCCTTATATGTTTTAAAGTAAAAGAATATAAATTAAAGTTAAATGAATTGTTCAAACTTTAATAACATGTATATTTTGATCATATGTAAAAAAAATTATCTTAGATCATAAAAAACTGTTATGATTTGTATTATTTAAAATAAGTGGCAGTCATTTTGTGATGCTAGTTTTATTTATTTATTTAAATAAATAATATAATAATTTTAATTTGAGAATATATATTATAAGTTTATTATTAAAAATAGTTAAATAAAAAATCTCTTTTAAATTTTAACATTAGGAAATGAAAATTATTTTTCTACGAATAGTTTTTCATGTAATTACTTTTGTAGAGAGAAGGAAAACTAAATTTTTTGAAGTAAAAATAAAATTTTAATATAATAAAAATGTCATGTTATAATTATTTACTTATTTAATACAATAAAAAAAATTGATTTTGAAATAACATTTAAAAATATTCTTAAAAATATCTATAATCAACCAAATAAATTTTTATAATTATTAAGAATTATCATTTATAGACATGAAAAAATTTGTTGAGTACTAAAGGCCTACTTAAGTTTTATAGATATTATCCCAATTTCTACCACTAGAATTAATTAGGTGAAAAATAATTAATAACTTGAATTTATACATTTTTATTAAAATTGGACATTATAACTTGCACCATTTGTTAATTAGATAGAAAATAATTAAGTGAAAAGAGTGAATGAAAATTTTCAATAACTTGTAAAATAATACACAGTTTTAATAAATATATTACTATTAATTAATTAAATAATTTTTTAATGAAGTTAAAAGACTCTTAACTTAGAAATATAATTATATAATTAATTTTTTTTAATAATCATAATATTGATAAAAAAATATTATAAATTATACAAATAACTAATTTTTATTGAGAGATTTAAGTGACAATCTTTCATGAAATTTTTTCCAATCACATTTTTATTAGTCTCAAAATTCGAAGATAAAATCTTATTTAAAAAGATACTTTATCCTCTACAACTTAATTTTATATATTTTTGTTTTTGTATAACTAATTAACTATCCTTTACAACTTATGTAACAATAGAGAATTCAGTTAATAACGTACTTTTTTTAACATATACTCTTATTAGTTTTATTTTTTGACCAATATTTTCTGTCAATTACAATTTATTAAAAAATTATAAAATTATCAAAGAGATTCCTTCAATACAACTCATCAAATTTTGTAATATCCAATAAATTTTAACGGAAAAGAAATGTGTTAAAAAAATAATAAAATGCTATAAACATTAACCGCTTGCGAGGGAAAAATGAAAAATAAAAATAAAAGGCACTCTGATTTTTGTTATATGCAACGTTTGATTTTGGTGCGAGACACAAAATCCACCCACCTTGTACCTTCAATCTCACCAACACATTCTGTTACTTCGTTTTTCCTTTCCACACAAAAACCTTAAATCGCACGTTGAAACTGAAACCACTGTTTAGATTAGAACCGCAAAAGCTCTTGGGTTTGTTTCCTTCGCAACCCCTTCAATTTTCTTGATGTGAATCCTCAAAACAATGTCTGGGTTGGAGGAATTGAGAAAAAAGCTCGCACCTTTATTCGACGCCGAGAAGGGTTTCTCGTCAAGTCCAACCTTGGACCCTTGTGATTCTTACACAGTAACCCTCTCTCACTCACTACTCTTTATCAAAACATGATATTAATTAATAATATTGAAATGGGTATGAATGGTTTTGTCTAATATGAATTTTCTGGTTTTGGTTTGTTGACAAGTTTTCGGATGGTGGGACTGTGAACTTATTGAGTAGATCATATGGGGTGTACAATATCAACGAGCTTGGGTTGCAGAAGTGCACGTCTAGGTCTGTGGATGAAACTGATCAGAGTGAGAAAACGTATAAGTGTGCTTCCCATGAGATGAGAATATTTGGAGCAATAGGGAGTGGTGCTAGTAGTGTTGTGCAGAGAGCTATACATATACCATCACATAGGATTCTGGCACTGAAGAAGATCAATATCTTTGAGAAGGTATTCTTGTTTCCTGCCCTTGATTCTTGTGGTATTTTTGCCCGTAGCTTACACATTGTAGTCTGAATTTTGAATTTCATGTCATGTTGGGTAGGACTATGCCTTTTCATGTTACTTTTAGTTCTTTACAAGAACCTAATTACAATGCACACACTATATAGAGCAATATTATCAAAACTGGACTGGTGGTCGGCTAGGTCAAGGTATTGGGTTAGTGGATTATTGGTCGAACCAGTAGGTCACTAATTGAATCACATGAGTCAATATACTAAACATGTTACTTTTATCACATATTAAACAAGCTACTGAAGTGGTGAAGTTTTTCGGTGGTAAGTTGAAGTGCCCCCAACATGGGGTGCAAGGGTTGAGTCCGTACCTCCTTGGGCATCACTTGTACCTCGAGCCGCACGCATCTCCTCTTGTGAAGCACACGCAAACATGTCAAGAGCCTTGAGCGACATGCACACAAACTTGTCACTGGTCTGTCTGAAAATTGGATTTCATCGGTTTAATCCGGTTTTCAGGCTGGTTTGATGACATTTTGTAATAGAGTTTAATTTTAATGCACTGGTTGTGCAAATTTGTTTACATTGTCAACTAATTAGAAATCGTTGGTAGTAATATTTTTAAGATAAATATTGTAAAAATCAATAAACTTATCATACATGGTGGTTAGTAATTTGATGAGTGGAAAAATTTTGTATATTGGCAGTACATACATTATTTATAATTACTTTTTTGGTTATATAAGGAAGTATTACTCCTTCCTATTGAGCCTGTCCTTATAGGAGTAAAGTAGTACCAACTATCGTGACTCCATATCCAAGTCAAGAATTGAGCCCTGGTTCTTGATTAAGGAGTACAAGTGCCGGGCCACTTGAGCTAACAACTTTTGGTTTGTAATAATTACTTTAGAAGTTATTTCAAGGGTTATTTTTAATTAGTTGACTATGTAAAAAAAATTTACACTTATAGTGCATAAAATTTAAACTCTCTTTATAATCTTTGTGATTTCTAATCATGTACTGTAGTACACTATATATTGCACCTGACTCCAAATAAGAACAGGGCAACAATGAATGATTCCAAGAAAATCACAAAAAAGTTAAAAAGGCCTTATCACATGCTTGCCTGATGGTTGCATTTCTTTGTACCAATTAGGAGAAAAGGCAGCAACTCCTTACTGAGATAAGGACATTATGCGAAGCACCTTGTTATCAGGGTCTTGTAGAATTTCATGGGGCATTTTACACCCCAGATTCTGGACAGATAAGCATAGCTTTGGAGTACATGGATGGAGGATCACTTGCAGATATCTTGCGAATGCATAGAAGGATACCTGAACCTATTTTGTCATCCATGTTTCAAAAGCTCCTACATGTAAGGAAAATAATCTTGTAATTTTATTCAGTTTTTAATTTCAAGAAGCACAAAGATATGCTTACTGGCTTTTTATCTTTTTGAAGGGTCTAAGCTATCTGCATGGAGTCAGACATCTAGTTCACAGAGACATAAAGCCTGCTAATCTATTAGTAAATCTCAAAGGGGAGCCAAAAATCACTGATTTTGGTATTAGTGCTGGCTTGGAGAATTCAGTGGCAATGGTTAGTATATTCTATCAGATTTAATTTATTGTCACTTACTGCTTCCATATAATTGTTTGCAAATGTGTCATTATGATAAATTTATAACCATTCTGTTCCTCTTCATAAAAAAATTGCTACTTTGCAGTGTGCTACATTTGTTGGAACTGTTACATACATGTCACCTGAGAGAATTCGAAATGAAAGCTATTCTTATCCAGCTGATATTTGGAGCCTGGGTCTTGCTCTTCTGGAGTGTGGGACAGGAGAATTCCCATATACAGCTAATGAAGGTCCTGTCAATCTTATGTTGCAGGTATGTGTGTGAATGCTTATTGATGCTTATTTTTTTTCCTTTAGTATGATTGAATGTTCATGTTGTCTGGGAAAAACATCCTAGGTGATCATTGTTTTCACGTCTTTTTTCTTGTCACTTGTAGAAAAATTTCATCAGAAGTAATAATAGCATTAATCACGCAAAAGGAAGCAAAGTATATCTGATTTAGCATTGCAATTATCCCATAAATTTCAGATAAATGAGATAATTCATATGATATGTAGTATCAATGGTATACAATGTACTCAAAATAACTCATCCTGATTTTTCACATAAATTCTTAGTTGTTTAGCATACAATGTATTCAAAAGTCAAAATAACTCGTCCTGATTTTTTCACATAAATTCTTAGTTGTTTGCCATGAACTTCTATTCCATTCTAGTAATCTGATTCCACAGATGTACATTTTCTGTCTGCAAATAATTATACTTAGTTTCGTGACAGATCCTGGATGATCCATCACCATCACCGACAAAAAACAAGTTTTCACCTGAATTCTGCTCCTTTGTTGATGTTTGCCTACAGAAGGATCCAGATATTAGGCCAACAGCAGAGCAGGTGAGAGAAATGAGATTAACCTTAATATGATATTAGCATGATGTCTAGCATCTGCCGTATGCTATTTTGTGGTTGTTCAGTGTTCTATGCTTTTTCTACCACTCTACCTTAAACACAAATATTTTGGTGATCGCGCATTTATCGTTTCATTTTCTTTCCTTTTGACATTTGGATTCTTGTCTGGTGAAAAATATATTATTTTTCTTCAGAATGTGTTGGTTCTAACCATTAAATACAGATTACATAGTTGGTAATTCAGTGTTGCCCTATTGCAGCTGCTTTTGCACCCCTTTATCACTAAGTATGAGAATGACAAGGTAGATTTAGAGGGATATGTTCGAAGCGTTTTTGATCCTACACAAAGAATGAAGGACTTAGCAGACGTAAGTGGCTGCCAATTTTTATCTCTATTATTTGAGCAGACATACTTAAGAGTGTGAAGTTTCATTTTTCATGGGTTGGTTTGATGCACTATATATTTTAGGCCTTCTTGCAAACTATGTCTAAATAAAATGACAACCCCCCCTTCACAACACCAAACATTCATTTGAGTTCAAAATGAAGAAAATTAAAATTTCATTAGTTTGTTTCGCTTGGATTCACTGTTTTTCTTATGTGGGTAACTGTTTATGTCAAGATTTTAGAGATTTAGAGAGGTTTCAATTGGTACTTACTATTGGAACGTATTTTACTTTGCATTTTTCTCTTCAGATGTTGACAATACATTACTACTTGCTATTTGATGGACCTGATGATTTGTGGCAACATACAAAGAGCTTATATAGTGAAAGCTCAATTTTCAGGTGCGTAATGTTTTGTATGTTTTATTTCTGCATCAACAAAATGTCATCTGTATCAATTTACTCTGTTTCTACTACGATTAAAAGAAATACAATAGAAACAATTCACTTGAAAGAAAGTTGCTGCTATACGGGCAGCAAATTTTGTTCTTAATTAAGCTCTGTTATGATCTACTTTGGTCCACTATATCAATGGCCTGGTCAAACTGAGTAGATCTATGGTTAATCAGTTTAGAATATCAAAAAATGGATAATGACATTTTATGAACTCCCTTCCAAAGTCTTTTGTTGACCTCAGTAACAATAATAACATTATCCTTTTACATTTTGTAGTTTCTCTGGGAAACAACATTGTGGTCCAAGTGATATCTTCACATCTCTATCAAGTATTAGAACTACATTGGTTGGTGACTGGCCTCCTGAAAAGTTGGTGCATGTTGTTGAGAGGCTTCAATGCCGTGCTCATGGTGAAGATGGAGTTGCAATCAGGGTATCAGGATCCTTCATAGTTGGAAACCAATTCCTCATATGTGGAGATGGCATTCAAGTTGAGGGCTTGCCAAACTTCAAGGATCTTGGAATTGATATTCCTAGCAAAAGAATGGGTACATTTCATGAACAATTCATTGTGGAGCCCACAAGCCTTATTGGATGTTATTCCATTGTCAAACAAGAGCTTTACATTAATCAGTAATGTTATATTATTACATTATGGTGTTACTGTGTCACTCAGAATTCAACACACTTGACACAGAATCACTGTCTCCCAGATGTAACATTACAAATTTGCCATGTATCTATGTTAATGAAAAATTGTTAAATGTGAATATGAATTCATTTAAAGTTAACATGTGATTTTGCTACAACTACTTCAGTACTCCCTTAATCCCTTTGCACCTTTTTAATCGTCGTTTTAGAAGATATTTTTTCCCCTGGTGATATTAATTATTATTTTTAATTATGACTTTATTTAATTTAATTTTATATATTAGTTATCACGTACATTGTTCAACATTATTACAGGGATTAGACTAAGTTTTATATTTGTCATCAGACCACATACAAATTTTATATCGGCATTCTTTTTTTGTTGAAAATAATGTTTTACATTGACTACGCTTTTAATGCTATTATGCTGTCCAGATTAGATTGAGACGAGCTATATAAAACACTCGCAACAATGTGTAGTATTATAGTTTTATTTGATCTTCAAGCATAAAAAAGATAAAAGGACGGAAGGAAAGTAGGGAATATTCGAATCTTAAGGCAGCATCGTGTAAAAGGGCAAAATCATAGGAAAGGTCGAAATCTTGCACTACTTTCTTTAATTAATTTTTTTTTAGTAATCTTGGTGTCCCTTTCTTAAAAATATATTTGTTTTAATATTCTATTTTTACTTTTTCTTGTATCTATTTCATATTTTTTTCAACATTTTCAAAATGTCAGAAATGCTCGGCCTTTCACGAATTATGAGTAACTAAATTCACATCAAATACTTATAAGAACCATATTTATATATTAGGCGCAGCATTGCAACGACGATTTGCAGAACGAACAACTTCACATGCACCACTCGCTCTCCGTTGGGGAATGAGATACGGTGCACCCGCGACCAACAAATACGGGGAGCAAAAATCCACAATTTTAGAAAAAAATAATCATTAAAACCTTTATTAAAAATTATAAAGTTAAAAGCAAATTTATTCAGTAATATTATAATTTTCAATATTTTCTTAGTGTTTCATAAAATGTTTGCAACCGAGACGTGGTTAACGAAAGCACATGCTGATCCGTAGAAGAAACGAGAAAGCCACCACATGATATTTCGCATAAGGTGCATAAAACATTTGCAATTAGTTTTCTTTACCGCAGTTCTCGTGCTTTCAATTGCACCAGGCGTTATCTAGCCATGCTTTCCTTTCAAACAGTTCATTCATTCACATTAAAGAGGTATGATTCAACATCACTTTTTAATTGTATTGCACAACGGCCACAACTTGACAATCAGAATTCATATCAACATCAAGTAAATATAGCTCACACTCCGGTTGTCTCTAGCTAATCAGCAGAAGCAAACATTTGTACAGATTTTCATGTTTTCACCCTTGATCTGAATTTGGGTAAAAAAAACAAATATTGTTGCTATAACAATTCCTTTATATGTGCTTTACATTTCAAATAACCTGTAGAAACGACAACAAAAGCCTTACCACAAGTATACAGCTACAAATAATGAAATGTTTAAAACGTCGGAAAAAGAACCTTACCCAAAGAACAGAGCTGCAAAAATTCCAAGCCACCCATGCTACCTCTAAAACAAGAGCGCTATGTGCAAAAGAATCCTTACTTCACAACAGAACTTCACTGCTTTAACAAGCCTACAAGGTTCTTGAAGATGCTAAAAAGTAGTCTCGGATGGTTCTCTTAAGGGAGGATGGAGGGTTCAATACGGATGAGGGGCTCTTCAAAGCAGATTCTGGAGTTTTTTCAGACGATTCAATTAGATCAAATCCTGAGGAAACTTGGTTCGTATCGCCTCCAGATATATTCCTTTTAGGTGGTGTGATTGGAGTGGGTGACGTAATTGGGTGGTGTGCATCATCAGATATAAAAGCATCTTCTGCTGTCTTTGGGTATTTTTTTCCATTATTATTTAAAAGCATTTTGCATTCTATACTAGGCATTGCCATTACTCTTCTTCGGATGGCAGATGCACACTGTGTTCTAGAGACATAATTGTTTTTCTTCCATGTCCGAACCTGAAAAGAGCAATTTGAGAAGAATTACAATGCTGAAAGAAACATCTGATGCATTTTATATATATAAAAAAGGCTAATATACAATATCAAACTGAAAGACACTGCAAATAATATGCAACAATATTTGGGTTGAAGTCAAGTACAACTTCAACTCAAATGAATAGATTAGTTTTGCTTACTGTAGAATCATCAGAACAAGTTGCTAATTTTCCAATTTCAGAGCTACACCTGTTAAAATAAATAATGTTAGAAAGAAGCATATTAAAATAAAGAGAACTGGAACCACGCTAGATTTCCAATTTACCAGTTAACTGCTGTAACTTCACCATCATGACTTTTCAAAATAGTAGGATCATCCTGAGGCTTGTCAACCTGAATTTTGAAAGTTCAGTGATATTATATAACAAATGCAACCTAAGTATCCAACTTGCAATATCTCATTAAAAGCAAATGCAACCTAAGTATCCAACTTGCAATATTCCATTAAAAGTAAAAAATGTAACCTTCCAAACATAGGCATTTCCATCACTAGAACCACAGACAAGGTTAGATGCATCAGGACTAATTGCAGCCTGAAATTACACAAAATCAGATAAAGTTAGGAGTTAGGACACAAACTGAATGCTGAAATTTTTTTAGATACACTCTCACCTTGACAAAAAATGATTCAATTCGACCCCCAGAAAAAGATTGTAAAGGTCCTTTTTCAAGTTGAAGAGTGTCATACAAATAAACTCTGCAAAAAACAAAAAGGAGAAATAGTACATTTTAAGTTTTGTTGTACATTCTTACTTCAGAAAAATAAAATAGATACACTATCAAAGGATGATACCGGTTATCCATGCAGGAGGCTGAAAGAAGAAGTCCACTGTCATCTTGGGACAAACTAGATATTCCATGTAAGCTTTGCTGAAATGACAACAAAGAACTGTCAAAAGACTCAAGACTATTTCGTCAAGTTTTTTAATAGGAAACAAAATCCTATGATATAATGGACTTAAGGTCTCAACACTATTCTTAGAGTCGAGACAATAAGTCCATTATATAACCTTTTACTGAACACAAGAATCATGACCCAGTTTATCCAACACCATTAATTGGCAACTTCTTGAATGTATAAAGAAACAAACTATTATTTTACATCACAGTTCCCACCGACCTTTTCAGTTGACTGAGGACAAGGACATGTCTGAGTGACAATACTTTTCAAATTTCTGGTATCCCAAAACTTCACCACGCTGAAATAAACCAGTGGCTTAGTAAAATATATTAATTCAAGTAAAACATTGAAAAAATAAACGTTTCCAACTAACCTATCCACCGCCCCTGCAGTAGCTATGGAAACCTGGTCCTTGAGACAAAGAACAGATGTAATACTCATGGAAGCAGTCTGAAAAAAAATAGGAATTGTTAAACAAATTTAATTTGCAAGATGTGAAGGAACACTGGTCTATCAAAAGCAAACCTTTGTCCTCCTAGTTCGTTTTGCCCGAGATGAAATATGTGCTCCTTTGACACCACCCATTGAACTAGAAAAGCAAACAAATGAGAAAAAAATATTTTAAAAAAGAATCAATACAAACAAGTGATTAACAGATCAAGAAAACAATTACTACAGGAGTTTTACAAATAAGAAAATGTCACTAACCATATGTTAACTTCTCCACGTCTACTCCTAGCAGTGGACTTGCATCTCAAGTCCCAAATGCGGAAGGATCCATCTCTTGAACCAGAGATAATAATATCTGAAAAATTGGAGAAAAGACAAGTATTAACAACTAATACATAATACATAATGTGCACTCTGCAGTTGCAGAAAAACTCATAGCTATGCAGAAATGCAGGTAAAACAAAACATTACCACTATTAGTTGGATGAGAACACATAGATTTCACGCTTCCTGTGTGCCCAGTTAAAACTCCAAGGCACTTCCGTTCTTGAACATCCCATAACTTTATCTGTAAAAGATAAAAATGGAGCATAAGAACATTCAAAAAAAAAAAAAACGCACTCAAACAAAACCTACTCATATATTCAATTATAAAACTCACAATTCCTATTCAATTCTAACTCAGTAAACATCAAATCACTATCCAAATTCCCAATTTCATCTAAATCTTATCAACAAGTTCAGTAGCGCAGTCCTAAGCTAACAAACAACCACAATTCAGCTAATACATAACGCAATCACTTACCGTTTGATCACCAGAAGCAGTGAGAATCTGTGTATCTCCCTGCAAACAATTATAAACCATATCATATCCATACACAAAACACTAGAAAACAAACAACTCAAACTAATGACTACTTCATTTATCAAATGATTTCCCCTACCTTAATCCAACAGAGATCAAACACAGCATTCTGATGCGAAACCCAATCACAAATCTTCGCCTCCTCTGAGAGCAAAACAGCACAAATAAATCTCACATAACAAACCACAAAATTACGCAACCTCTACAATTATTTACTTATTACATCAAAAAAAAAAAAAAAAAAAAAAAA